GGTGGGAGCAGCACCAGCGCGGGGGTCGCCCTCGCCGCCCCCAAGCGAATGTAGGACCTCCTCCGTGCGGGCCGCAGCCGCGGCCGTTGCCTTCGCTGCTGCCGGCGTCGCTTGGGGTGTGCGCAGCCGCTGCTCGCAGAAGGTAATGAAGTCGAGGGCGGCGTCGAGCGAGCGACGGGCGTCGCGCAGGCAGTTCCCGGTGGCCAACGCATCCGCGGAGGCGAGCAGCGCCGCATTCTCCCGCAGCACCGCCGCCAAGCCGGCAAGGGCGCGCGCGCGGTCCGGCGGCGAGAGCGGCGCTGGAGCGGGGCGAGTGACCTCGCACAGTGCGCGCACCGCCACCGCCGTCGGTTGGGCCGCGAAGGTGCAGACGCCAGCCGCGTCGGAGGGACTCTCCACCACGACGGGCACGCCGCAGCCGCCGCACGGGTCACACGGACGCAGCTGGCCGCACACGTACGCCGCGGCTGCAGCGGGGGGCAGCAGGTCGCGGTAGCTTTGCCGCCACGCAAACCGCACCATCCGCGTGCACGAGAACGCCCCACATCGCCGCATCGCTCGCCGCAAGCTAACAGATGTGTGCATAAATTGTGCACCCTTCCTTCGCCTCGCCTGCACGCCCGCAAAGCCGTCTGCCCCTGTTCTTTGTTTGATTGTTTTGTGTGTGTGTGTGTGTGTGTGTGTGTGTGTGTGTGTGCGACGGCACGGCCTCGGTGTGGGGAGCGGGCGAAGAAGTCCAAAGAAAAAGAGTTGCATATTGCACGCACGCAGCCAGTTTTTCTTGCTCTCGTTGGTAGTAATTCTACAAGAGCCATGAAGCACATTTGCGCAGGCGGCAACAACGATGCAGCCACACCGCACCACCCCTCCCGCTTCCTCCTTGTGGTCACTTGAGGCGCAATAAATATCGTTATTGTTTAAGTTTCCTTCTTCTTCTTATATATATATATATATTCTTTGCGGGCGGCCATGCACGTGGCGCCAGAGGGCAGCGATGTGTGTTTGCCTGTGGGCCACTTGTCTACTGCTGCTGCCCCTGCGGCTCCGCCAGGGCCTCCTGCAGGCACGCCGGGCACCACGCCAACTCCGCCTGCGTGCGGCACAACACCTGGCGCTCGAATGCGGTCAGTGGGTGGTGCTGGCGCAGGTAGGCGCGGGCGGCGCCCTCCAAGAGGTGCTGCAGGATGCGGCCGCCCCGCCGCTCCGCCGCCGTCTGCAGGAGCTCCACAAAGTCCCCCAATTCCCACGCCACGGCTCCTGTGAGCGGCGCCGCCTCGCTCAGCCGCCCTGTCGCGGCCCACCGCCGCAAAAGACGCTCAGAACTCACGGAAGATGCAAATACGACGCCGCTCCCGCCATCACTTGCGCCGGCGCTCGCCGCGGTGGGGATGGCAGGCGCAGCCGCGTCTGCGAAGTTGCGGTGCCGCGTGTCTTCTCCCGTCATGACGGTGTGGGCAATAAGCCGAGCGAGCACGACGGCAACAGGCGGGGGGCAGGCGGCGGCGGCCACCGCAAGCGCCTCAAGAAGGCGCCTGCTCATCGACTCCTCCGCGTGGGGGGCGGCGTAGGCGGTGAGCGCCTTCAGCGCGTCGGAGGCCGCGTCGCTGAGAACGCCCCCCGACGACGGCAGCACCCCGCCGCAGAGCACCTCCAGCAGCGCGACGAGGTCCGCGTTCTCCCCACAGGGCGCGCCGTCAGCGCCGTCGTGTTGGCTGCCCCAGTCCCGCTGCGTCGCGCGGTGCAGCACCGCCCACTTGAGGGCGTGGCACAGCACAAGGTCCCACCTTAGCAACCGCTTCACGCCCTCGTGCGCCCCAAGCGCCTGCTGCAGCCAGGCACACCACGCGGACTTACACGGCAGCTCCGCGTCGTAGAGGGGGAAGAGGAACCACGGCCACTGCGTCTGCTCGACGGCACGGCGCAAGCTCTGCCCCAACGCCACAAGCGGCAACGGTGGCGAGGGTGCACGGACCACCGCGCCAAATTCGGTGTCGTCGGGAAGGCCGAGCATCGCGGCTATCATCGTGGGGGCGGCGTCCAGGCAGTGCTTCGTCACGGCGATGCCGTGCAGAATGAACACCTCGGCAACGTACGTGTCTCGTGTGTACTGCCGCCGGTGATCGCGCGGCGTGGCGCGCGAGTGCCGCCGCATGAAGCCGGCCACCTCAATCATGGTGCACAGCTCGTCCGGCGGCAGGTGCCCCGCCACTTGGGAAATGCCCATGCAGCGCTGCTCAAAGTGGGCGGCCAGAGCCGCGGCGTAGCCCATCGAGGCCTCGCAGCAAACCGCAGGGAAGGCGGCGTGCGCCGCGGCCATCAGGCGAACCCGCGCGTGGTTCAGGGAGGCCCAGGCAGCCTCCACAAAGGAACGCAGGTTCAGCGTCGTGGGCGGCTGGTTGGGTGCCGTGGCGGCGGCCCCCACGCCTCGATGCTCCCCCACTCGGGCGAAGGCACGCTGCAGCCCCGTGGCGGTCAGCAGGCACGTCGCCAGCATTGCCTGTACACGCCCTTGGGTCTCGCCCGCAGCGCCGAGCAGCGCCTCCGTCTCCGCCGCCCCGCAGGCGACGGTGAAGTACGTCGCCAGGTAGTGCGTCGAGGTGAGGGCGGCGAGCAGCGCGGCGCAGTGGCCCGGCGGCGCCGCGTCCCCCACGCCGTCCTCGACGGCCTGCACGCGCGGCAGCAGCGTCTGCTGCGCGACGCGCGCCAACTCCACCCCGCACGTCTCCACCGGGGCCGCGGCGGTGAGGAGGAGCCACATCTCCGCCGGCATGCACGCACCCACGCCCACCGCCGTGAGCAGCGTGTCGCGGAGGTCGTGGAAGACGTCAAAGATCCCGTGGCGCACAAAGGCGCGGAGCACGAGGAAGGCCGCGAGACACGCCACAACGTCCGAGACGCAGCGCGGCGCCTCGTCGGGCGCGGCGCACACGTGGCGGAGGAAGAGAGCGAGCACCTCCTGCAGCGGCGGCAGCAGCGCGGCGCAGGCCTGCTTCACGTGCAGCACGCGGCGCAGCAGCAGCAGCTCCTCCACGACCTCCCCAAGCGGCGTGGCCCCCGCCACCACGCTGCCCAGCCGCCCCGCCACAAACTGGGCGTACCGCGGGTCGGCCGCCACGCGCACGGCGACGCGTGGGAGCGACAAGACGCCACCGCCCAGCAGCAGCCGCGCGGCCAGCGTCGGCGGCAGCACCCCGAGTGCATCCATGACGCTCGTCGTCAGTCCCAGTTGCTCCAGCGCGCGGGCCTTGTCCTCGCCGCTCCGCATCCACTCAGAGAGATCGGCAAACGTCGCTTCATTGCCTGTGCCGCTGGCGACGCCCTCCTCCTCCTGCTGCTGCTGCTGCTGATGCGCCCCCTCCGCGCGTGTGGCCGCGTCTGTGGGGGGAACGCCGACCTCCCCCACCGCCTCCACCACCTCGGCGGTGGCGTCGTAAAGGAGCCACACGAGACACTCCGCGGCGGCGCTGCACGGCACGGTGTGTCCGGAGGAGAGCTCCGTGATGAGGAGCCGCAGCAGCTGCGCGCAGCCAGGGCCAAACGCGCATCTTTCCCGCAGTCTGTCATCGACCACTAGCCGTGCCCGCAACGCCGCCGTGGCACACTCGCGATGCTTGCGGACGGTGCTGCACAAAAAGCGCAGTAGAAGCTCAAGGTACGCCTCGCCCTGAAGAGGTGCGGGAGATGCCGCCGCCTCCGTGCCGGAGGGGCACAGCGGCACGGCGTAGTAGCCCCGCGCCAGGTCTGCAAACTCGTTCGCCTGCCACTGGTGCTGACGCGCCAGTGAAGCCATCGCGCCAGCACCCGCGTGCAGGCCCATCTCGGCAGCATCTGCGTGGCTGTCTGCCCCGCCGTCGAACGCCGGCTGCACGTGGGCCGTGAGTCCGTGAGCGGGGCCCGCGGCTGTCGCGCGGGTGGCCCGCGTGGCCTCGCCGCGGCTGGGCGCGTCTGCCGTGCGTTGGCCGTAGCTGCGGTCCGGGAGGCACCGCGGAAAGGGACTCCCCACAACGGCCTGAATGGGGCGCAGCGTGCGGCGAGGCTCCGCGCCGTCTCCGCTGGGCCGCTCCACGACGTCGGCGAGGACGGGGATGTCCCCGGCCGCCGCAGCCATTATCCCCTTCACACACGCACACAGACACGGGCAATCGGATAGGGGGAGAAAGAGGCAGAAAAAGGAGGTGTCAAGCCGCAGAAAAGACGTGTGGGCCGCATGGCCGCTCACAGGCGCCTGCGACGCCCCGGTCTTCGACCTCGCCGGTGGCGGCGCACACCGCACGAGCGCAGCTGCCCACAGCCAAAACACCACGACAAAAAAGTGATAACAACAGCAGCGATGAGCGGCAACAGCGGCGGTCCGCCCACAGGCGCCGCAGCAATGAGAAAAACACTCGTTTAAAAAAAAAGGGGGGAGGGGGTTCTTTGACGCCAGCCCCGCTGCTGCGCATAACGGCCTCCGCCGCTTCCGTAGGCGCACTCAGCAGAGAAGCAAAAAAAGAAAGGGAAAAGGGGAGAGGGGAGAGGGGAGAAAGAGAGTCCATCGCCATTCCTCCAGTCCAGCCACGCACAGAGAGAAAGAGAAAGAGAAAGAGAAAGAGTGCGAACAATGTGGGCGGGGGAGGAGAGTGAGGGGAAATGGGGTCACTGAGAAGGCAACCAACAAATAGGTACAACAACAGCAATAAAAAAAACGCTCAATCAACAACAAAAGCAGGAAGGGAAAATGTGCGAAACGAGTGAGTAAAACAACAACACGAAAAGAAAAGCAAGAACAAAAAAAAGGGCATGACGCGGGGCCCTCACTCACGATCTCCGCCAATCCCACACATACCGAGTTTCATGTACGAAGCGCTTAACGAACCCTGTACTCTCCGCCGCCGCCGCCGCGTGTTGCGGCGCCGCGGTCTGCACTGCGTCGGGCCCCACCTCGACAAACGTCGGCTGTCGCCGCGTCAGGGGGGTTGATGCCCCCAGCGGGGAGATGAGGCGCGGAGAGCGCAGGTCTGCCTCACCCGCGACGCCCGCGCCGGCCCCGGCGAAGGCCTGCCGCGGATTCGCGGCGTACTGCAACAGCGCCCCCATCCACCGCTTCGCCGTGTCTAGGGCGGTGGAGGTGACACGCGTGGGGAGGTACGCGACACCGCCCTCCTGCGCGGCGTCGCTGGCGCCGTCCGGCGCAAGGGAGAAGAGGGCGGAGGTGATGGAGGGCGGGGGCCGCCTGCTCCCCGCCTTTTCGCCGCGCCGCTCCCCCGCACCCGCGCCGCTGGGCCCCGCGGAGGGCGGTGGTGCAGGCTTCGCCGCGGCAGCGGCGTCTCTGCGCGGAACCGCGGAAAGCGCGGCCCCGTGCGCGCTCCGTTTGTTGGGGTTCGCAAAGTCCGGGACCGTGCCGTGGTAGTACGTCTTGCCGTTTAGCTCGAAGCGGTAGATGTAAAAGTTCCCCTCCCGCACATGGACGCGCCTGTGCCGCCGCCGCTCTCCCGCGCCCGCCGCCGCGTCCACCCGCTTCGCCTGGGGGCTGCCGCCACGACTCCCCTCCGCCTGCTGCTCCGCCTCCTCCGCGGCGGCGTCATTGTCGTCGCCGTCGTCGTCCACGTCGCCCTCCTGCAGCGCCTGCGTCGTGGTCACCCAGCCGGGGTCCTCCGGCGGGGCCTCGCGGGCGGCCTTGCAGTGCGGCCGCATCGCCGCCAGCACCACCGCGTCTAGCGGGATGCTGCGGTCCGCCACCCACAGCCCAACCTCGGCGTCGTAGCGCAGCACGTCCCCCTCGTCAAAGCCGTCCATCACGGCGGCCCCCATGACGTACACGTCGCGGTCGTCCACGGGCGTGGTGCCGCCCTCGCTGAGGGGGAGGGGCGGTGGGCGGTGGCGGTCCACAAGTCCGCGGAAGCGCCAGTAGGCGTCGCCCGAGGGGAGCGGCTCCACGCGTCGCGCGAAGATGTCCGGCCGCTCCGCCAGCGCGAGACAGAGCCGCTCCGCCAGCTGCTTCCCGATGCGACCGTGAAGCATGTTGTCCTCCGTGATCCACGTCTCGAACCCGGCGGGCTCAGTAAACCCGGCGGGAATGGCAGGCAGCGTCGACGTGGAGCTGTCCAGCGAGCTTGTGCGCGAGTGCTGGGAGCCGCCGAGGTGGGGGTCTACGCCCACGTGCCCCATGCGACAGCGCATCTCATGCAGAAAGGACAGAATGGGCACGTTCGTCATGAGCGAGGAGAAGCTAAACGTATCCATCGGTGGCATGCAGGGCTTCGCGTAGTACGGGGAATGCATCGTTTGCTTCGCCGGGCGCTGCAGCAACCCGGCGTCAATGAGTTGGTTGTAGTACATCCCCGCCGCCATGAAGGTGATGCGGCTGAGGTTTTGTTCACCCGCGGATTTTGTGAGGAAAACAATCGCCGCCAACGGCGCCGCCGCCAGTGGCGGCGGCAGTGAGACGAAGTGGTCGTAGTTCGACCCGGCGATGCCCCCCAGCTGAATAAGCCCGGCCGGCACGGGCACGCGCGGACGCTGCTGCTGTGGCGCGGGCTGGTGCGGGTCGTACGACGGCGACGACGCCAAAGAGCAGGCTGCCGCCAGCGCAGACCTCGGCAGCGCGGGGCGCGGGTGGTGGCCGGCGGAGAGAGCGAACGGGTCCTCGTGGCGGTTCCGGGGAGGCGCCGCGGGGGACTGCGCCGCGGAGGTGCGCGTTTGGCTCCGCGGCACCGAGGGCGGGGCGCGGGGCGGGCTCGTCGCGGAGCAGTACGCCTGACTCCCCGCGCTGGCGGGCACCGCCGCCCCCTCCACCTCCATCGGCACGAACCCAAAGCAGCCGACGATGTTGACGATAGAGCCGCAGAGGTAGACGCCCTGCTCCATCGCCATCTGCAGCTGCTGTGGGCAGCCGGCGCCGAGGATGCCGTTCTGCTGCGCCAGCTTGCTGGGGTCGTAGCGGAAGGCCACCGCGCAGATGATGGGAAGGACGCGTTTCTTGCCCGCGCCACTCTCCGGCGTCGTCAGCCCCGCCGCACGCTCGTGCGCCTGCCGCATTTCCTCGTCGGTGTCAAAGAGCATCTCCTCCACTCGCTCCACGACCCCGCGGTAGAGGGCCTCGCGCGAGGGGTAGGAGGACTCCCCGTCGCTGTTGTCTGTGGCCGGGATCCGGCTCAGGTCGCCGGGGTTCCCCGGGCGGCGGAAGTAGTAGTTCACCCCCGCATCGCACCGGGTCCTGTGGAACTGCACAAAGAGGGCACAGTCGGGGGAGGGAAAGAACTCCTTCGTCAGCGGGATCAGCACAATCTCCTGCCTCTTACCGCCGCACCCAACGCCGCCGCCCCCCGCCGCCCGCACGACGTACAGGCCCCGCTGCAGCGTCTCCCGGCTTGGCACCGCCCCCATTCCACCCGCCGCGTGCGCCGAGTTATAGGCGCTACTTCAACCAGCCTCCCGCGCCCGCAGTCGCTAAAAGTGAAGTGGGCTGGGGGAAAAAGGGGCAAGGCCAATAGCAACCTACTTCCGCCCCCTTCCCTTTTTTATTTGCCTGCTTTTTACTTCTGCCTCTCTCGCAGTTTCTCTTTCTCTTCGTTATTTTATTTACTCTTGCTTACGGATAAATACTCCTCGTGCTCCTTCCCGTGCCTGGCCGCCCGGGGGAGCTATGGCTGAGTGTGCCTACGTGTGTGTGTGTGTGT